CGGGCCCCCCCGCCCTGCACGCACCTTGCGAGCCAGCCGCAGGGCCAGCTGAGACACGGCCGCGTGGCCCAGAAGCAGCCACGCCAGCTGCCGCCGCCCCCAGTCCATCCAGAAGCTCCACTCGAAGTCCGTCGGGTCCTAAAGGCGCGAGACGGGTTCTGGGGCTCTGGGCACCCGCAGCCCCCCAGGCGCGGCTCCTCACCCCCCACGGGCCCTTCTCAGGCTGCCCCCCAGCCCCTCCGTGGGTGCAGCTGACCACAGATCCACGGACACCCAGCGGCAGAGCTGGGCCGAGCCCAAGGCTCCCGGACACAGCACTGAGAGCGGTCACCGGCCGCACTGCCCAGGCCCCCTGGGCTGACCACGCTGGCCCGCGAGTGATGGGGACACTCAGGATGGAGGGTGGGTCTCCCCATCCCCGGGGGCCGTGTCCCCGGCCGGTCTCACCGCTGCCGGGCAGGGCCTGAGCCGGCCAGTGGGGCACAGGGCCGGCCCGGGGCGGGGGGCCCACGGCCCAATGGCCGACGGTCAGCACCTCCACAGAGCAGCTGGCAGGGACTGGCCCCGTTCGAGGCCCCGTTCCCGCGGCAGCCAGGGCCAGCGGCCGCAGAGTGACCACCGAGTGGCCGCCACGAGCCTCAGCTCACCTTCTTCAGTCCCCTGAACAGCGAGCTGGTCTCCAGGCCAAATTCTCGGTCCAGCTCCTCTTCATGTTCTGCAAGGAAAACAGCCGGAGGGTCTCAAATCTGACCGCAACTGGGCTGGATCGCAGTGGACACTGGACGCGGCGGGCGTCCCCGAGACGCCCGAGCCACAGGCGGAGCCACGGCCCGCCTGGGACCCCGGTTCCTGGAGGTTCCGGCCGGGCCAACGGCTGTCCCCGGTCACGGGCCTGCGGGGCAGCGAAGGCCCCCGGCACCACCACGCAGGAGTGACCAGCGTCACCGGGAGCCCGTCCACCCCCGCAGGAGCCGCCGGAGGAGGCCGTGTGCTCACGGGGGACCCCAGAAGCTGCGTCCAGCTGACGGCCGGGCTCCGGGGCGGCGTGGACTGGCAAAGCTGCCTCGCCTCCCCATCAAGGACCGCCAGGCCGGGCTGCGCCAGTGCCCAGCAGAAAGGACCGAGGGGACCCCACCCCCCAGAGCAAAGCAGGCACGTGCGCACCCCACAGGAGGGCCACGGGGGCGAGGCTGGGGTGGGGGTGGCCGCTGTGGGCCAAGACCACACACAGCACCCCCCGCCACCGGGTGCACACTGCTCCCGGGGTGACACCCCGGGGACCCCGACGTCACCCCAGGGAGGCCCGAGCTTCGAAGACCAAGAGCCTCCAGAAAGGGGCAGCGGGGAGGGGCGGGAGGACAGCGAGCTCACTGCAGGCCGGCAGGGCCGGGCCCCCGGGCAGAGCTGCACACCGGCCACAGCCGCCTCAGCGCAGTCCCATCCGGCCAGGGGGGGACCCCAGGGCCCGGCAGACCCCGCCTGGCTCCCCGCGGCCCCCTCAGCGGTGGGCTTCATCCGTCTGCCTGCTCTGCTCCCCGCTCTGTCTCTGGGGCGTCCTCTCACCGCCCCTGCCCCTCTGGCCTGCACCCCAGTTCTGTGTGCACCCATAAATACATCTTTAAAGAGGCCCCCAGTGGCTTCTGCAAACACGATGGAGCATGAAGGCCCAGACTGCACTGCTGCCCCACTCACAGCGGGGTACAGTGAGGAGGTGCGAACCAGCCACGGCCCAGCCCCAGCCCGGCCCGGCCCCAGCCCCAG